TTATTTAAACAGTTAATTTCAGTACATTAACAACTTCAGAAATCTAGTAAGCAGAGATTTTTTTTTTTTTATTTTATTTAAACAGTTAATTTCAGTATATTAACAACTTCAGAAATCTAGTGAGCAGAGATTTTTTTTTTTCCTCTTAGCATAAAAAGTGTAGGTGGTACTAAAGATGATACTTTGTGTCATCGTAAGAATCTTGTAGCTTTTGCTTCTTTTAAGGGTAGGCAGGTGTAGCAACTAATTACACACTGCAACAAGAAATATTTTGTAGTACTAAATGTATGAAGGGAAACAAGTAGAGATCTGCAACAGCCTTTTCAAAGAACTCCAGTCTTGAAGAGCATATAATGGAAAGTATCTAAGGAGGTCTGTATTAAGCTCTGGAAACCTGTGAGCCCCCATTGCCCCCTTCCATTTGGCCTCTTTCACTACCAGCCAAGTAAAAGTCAAGTAAACCTGTTCGGCTGCAGAATTTGGCCAGTGAGCATTTACTAGGAATACTCATAGCCTGTCCTTGCTCCCCAAAAGCAGCTTCTGTATTTACAAAAAACCAAAATCTCAATCTAGAACAGTTTAATTTCTAGCAAAAAGGTGTGAGTGATTAAATGTAGATACAGATGACAAGCTCAAAGTAGATGTTTGTTGAGAGATCTGTCCCTTTAAGTATCATTTTTTTCCTGCCACTATATAGAGCTGACCATAACAAACTTGCATTTAGATATCTCCAGACACAGGAAAAAGAAACATATAATTAGCAAATAACACCTTCTAATTACAGATTATTTAGATTTTATAAACTAAGCATTTTAGTGTTTCCACAAATATATTAATCCTTTGCTTTATTCTTAGCAACACAGCAAAGTGATTCTTTACCTTCTTTGTTTCCTTGCAAAACTGACCCAAACCTGCGTTGTTTCATAAAATGAGTAAGCCAGCCAGGACAGTAGCCACAGCGATGTCCCCAGCTCGGGTCTATCACCTTGGCTTCCAAGAGCTAACCTATGCCTAAGCAGTTCCTGGGTTGTGGGGTTTTTTTTGGTTTTGTTTTTTTTTTTTTTGTATGAACAAATTTCTTCCAATTTGATTTAAAATGACAGTTTTAAAGGCAAAGATGGGCTCTATTTCAGACAGTTTTTACCTTTTACTTGACATAACTGGACACAAATCAAGCCTTGGTACAGAACCAAGGGTAGTTGCAGCTGAAATAAAGCAGAATTGGTGAAAGAATGCATGCAATAGTAAGATGCAGAATTTCAGGCAAAACACTGGCTGTCCTTGCTATCATAAACAAAGGTCTGAAATGAACAATCAAACGTAGTTGTAGTTGCTCACGTTGATGTAAAGGGCTGTTATCAAGTAACTAGTTGCATACAAAATGGATCAATTACATTTAGGAATTCTACATATTTAAATAAAAAAACAAGAAAAACCTTTGTCATTTAACTTCAGGAATTTTTGCAAACACCCTTTTAATCTTCTGTGTCATATGTTAAGCAGATAGGGATACATTTCATTTAAGACATAGCTGAGACTAATTATGTAACCAGCTAACTGAGAAGGCTGCGGCTAAACAGTCTTGCTTAGGTCGGTGATAAACTCAGCTGGTGGTTTTCTTCTTTTCTTGCAAATAGAAAGTCATTTGTACAAGAAAGACTCTTTGAATACTGAGTTACAAGGAAGCTCGAAAGGGAGGTAGTGGAGTATTTACTAATGAGCACAGGTAATAAAGTGAGAAAGACAGCACAAGAGTTCTGTAGAACTCCATACTGTCACGTATGAAAAGGGGCTCTTGGATGCAAGGGAAATGCGCCCACATGCATTGAAATTGAGATACAGCAAACGCGTGCTTAAATCTTCTATCACCTTTCAGGCTCCTAAGCATTATGGAAAGAACTAGAAGTATTCAGGAAGATAGGAATCGTCCTAGAACAGTTGTGGTTAGAGAGGCAGCACACTCTCAGTCTTGTTTGCCCCAACGTGTACGCAGTCTCACCAAGGGGATGTGTGAAATGGCCAGGGAGTGAGAAGAGGGGGTGTGATTGGTGTTTCAAAATGTGTTATGCAATTACATCGTGTTGCATCTGATGGCTGACATGAAGTGGGTGGCCAAAGGAAGAACCTGAGACACATTCTGGCTTTTCTCAGTGTTAACAGATAAATGTATTTTATGTCAGATCCAACACAACCATTCTCCAGATCCTCTCACCCTAAACTCACTCATGAGAAAGACCCATAGCAAGTGCTTAGGGCAGGTATAAGGTAAATACAGCTTGATATTTTTTCCCAGATCTGAATGTTGTTTCTTAGAGACTGTGAACTGGAAGACGTTTCCTTGATCTTCGGTTCTTTTAGTTCCTGATGGGAGAGTGATCTGTTTAACCCTGTTTTGAAGCAGCTTTCACTTCCAGCATCTAAAAATCTCTATCAGTGAGTTCCACAACTTTTTTAATGCAATTACTTTATTTAGTTTTACAACATAGGGTGTCTTAAATCTCAGGCTATGAGACTGATTATTCACCATCTCTGGGTGAAATGACATGGTGACATCATTTCTTAGCCTTGCTCTTTACAGGAACAAATATTGCTTGTAAGAAGTCAAACTTCAAAAGGCAATGCATGATTCTATATAACAGTTGACCTTTGGGGAGTTTAACAAGACGTAAAATCTATCTCATTGTACAGCAGCATGATATATGTTAAATGCATTTTATTTACCAGTCCATTCTGTGTTTAAATGTCACAGATATAACAATTTATAGATAGACTGTACTCTGTCTTTTGCTTTATTCAGGTTCATTCAACCCTCTATTATTTGAATGTGCTCATGCTATTTCTGCTTTTTTTAAGAAAAGCTGTACTCTGAGCTAGGATTGCTTGCAATCAGTAATGTCGAAAGGAATTTTTCATTTAAGAACTTGAATAGTCATGAGAAACTTATGAAAGTCCCTTCAAAAATTACACCAAGTAAGTTTTCAGTGTGTTTCGCTTACCTATATCACTCATGCAGTAGCTTGAGGCTTCTCCCTGTGCCCCCCACTGCAGAAGAAGTTGTTATACCCCACTTCAAGTTTGTAGAACACTTCCTTAATGCCTGCTTTTATATATGGGAACTTTAAACCCACACTTTTTCTTCCATGCAAGTAGACTGAATATTAATCTTTAAAGGAGAAAATAAGCTCTATGTTTCTTGTGGAGCTAAAGAAAGACAACCCAGGCCTTAGTGATTAGAAGATTCATTTAAGAGAAAGGTGAGATTGCTTCAGTTTCCATTCAAAGGACTGTTGACTGAAAGCAGCCTTTGTGGAAAAACTGCAGTAGTCTTCATCCCAGGGTGACAGCTGCCCCTTCTTATTCTGGGTGGGGACTACTATAATATCCATGTCCTGTGTTGGAGGGGGTTACCCATGCTGTCACACAAGTCATACAGCTACTGGTGCTTTGGTGCTGCATGCACTGCATGGGTGCCCTTTGTCTACAAAACCAAAGAGGTGTGCATCTTAAAACTAAGCACTTCAAGAGCCCCATAGACAGAGCAAGCCACAACAGGACCTAAATAACCTTAAGCCACTTAAACTGAAATCCGGTATCTCCTGTTTCCTTGTACGCATTTTACCTTTCTCTACTCCACAGAAGTACACTGAACAGGCCAATTTGAGCTGATACCTTCTCTTGTCAGCAGCAGTGTGGCTGGGAGCTGTAGTACACCCTGCTGCTACTGCTGAGCACCACCCCTAGTGTAAGCCCAACTGGTGGCATTTGGATATCAGGACCAAAGTCTGTGGAAGGACCTAGGCACCTAAGCATGTCTCGCCTTCAGCAAGATTAAACTCTTCAGCTGCCTCATGTCCACATATTGTGCCACTTCAGGCATTAGCTTAAAATTCCTGTTACAAGCAAAATAGCCATATGCTTTCTCTGTAGTTAGTAAAAGCAAGTTTCTGCAGAGGCATTCTGACAACCAGGGATTTGGAAAGCTGGAGTAACTATACACCTAGCTTCAGCAGTGCAGACGTTTGTCTATGCTCAGGCAGGACAAATTTTAGTTTATGTTCTTGAGTTGTAGATTACAGTGTGGGGAATTTACGTAAAGCCAATGATTAGACTTAACATAAGAGCCTACATCCTTACTCAAAAGCTTTCCTTTGTATTGTTCCAAATTCTCAGCTATTTGCACATGTACTTCCTTCTGTCTCAGGTGAAGTGTTTGATGTTCAAATTAGCTCTGGAGGAAGCGAGTTTTCTTCCAAAGACAAGTCAAATAGATAATACTTGGGTGATTTAAATTTCAAGAGCAGACAGAGACTGGACTAACATGTTCTGCAGGTTGCCTTTGCCAAATCTGCTCAGGGTGAGGAAGCCTGCACCCTGGCAACAGCCACCCAGCGGGAAGCAGGCTTCACTCCACAAGATTAGTTCCTCTGATACATAATATAGAGCATAAAAAGAAAACATTGTCCTAAAAAAAAAAAAATTGAAACATACACAGGTAAAGGTAGCTCCTGTATGAAGCACACTTCAAGAGTAAAAAAAAAAGAAAAACCCACACCAAAAAAAACCCCAAAGAACCACAAAACCAAACCATTTTGTTTAGCAAGAATTTTTTACTTGAGTCTTCAGTCAGCAAGGAATAGTTTTCTGCCCATTATTTCAGCAATACTGATTTTTTTTTATGCTAATGATAGAGCTCTTGATATTACAACTGGCCCTAACCAAAATTCCAACTTTTTTCCCTTACTTTACCTCTTAACTTGTTCCATTCAGCAATCGAGGCAGACAACCTTAACAAAAACATCTAATAAAAAAAGAGACTACAGAGCATGCTATCTTATTCTACTTTATAGAATGCAACACATGGCACATGAGATTATTCCTTTCCAAAAGGACTACTTAATAAAAAAAAGTAAAACAGCACCTATCTTCTTAAAGTGTATTCAAGGGAATATTTCCAAAGGTGAATTTTTGCACTGCAAATTAAGATTATTTTTTAAATTATTTTTCCTGTGAAATCCAAGGTGCTGCTTATTCATGAACTGTTGGAATAGCCATCCTTTAATACTCAAATCTGTTATAAGACAGTGCTTGTCAAGAGGTCCAATGGCTTCTTAAGTGAATCTTTCACTTTAATTAGTTTGGTAGCCTCAAGGGTACAATTAGGTCTTCCGATGAAGCTACAATGAATATGGCTTTCCTACGCTGATAATATCATAAAGTTTCACACAGGCAATCTGACAATTGATGGGGTTACAATCCTACAGATACATCAAGTAATACATCTTTGCACACATAGATTACATATCAAATTATTGCTGTAGCACAAACCTGTTCCATTATGTATCTTATATAGGACAATTAGGACATACCTGTGCTACATTATGAAACAGCTACCCAAACCAAGTCAACAGGTTTTACTTAATACCACTGAACTTGTAGGTAGTCCCTCTCAAACACAGCTAACAATACAACTCAGTATTTGAGTATATACTGACTAGGAATGCAATGCAATATTTATGTAAGAAACAGGACTGAGCTAAATACCGTACATAAATATCAGTACAAAGGTTTTCCGTGCCTTTCCACAGAAGCTGAATTGCAGTGTTGGAATGACAATTTGCTTCTGCCTCAGATTATTCAGTCATCAGCAAAATTACATCAAAAGACTTACTTAAAATTCACAGTCAAGATGATAGAGGAAGTCTTTCCAACAGTACTAATTTTGGTTTCAAGTTTAAAGTAAAAGGAGGTAGCGCAGTAAGGTTCAACCCAATTTTACTGATGCCAGGTATATTTGCCAGTGGCCTGTGGGTTGTCTTGTAATGTGATATTTGAAGAGGGTTTGTTTCCATCAGGATGTGTGTGTAAGAAAACATCAATTGGTCTCCTGGTTTAACATCTTCTCTTTTGTCATACCTGTAATGAATAAAGAAGGCTTATTTACATTCCTCTCTTTACATATTTAACATCTCTATTATCGCAAGGGCATGTAGCATCCAAGATGAAACACAACAGGAAATGTAGCATCCTCAGTTATATCTCAATTAACTAGTAGTGGAGAAGGAAATAGTATTTTTGAAGAGTTTAGGGAGCCAGTCATTCCATGCAAGTCTTTCTGCTGCTATTGTGATATAAATCAGGACTCCTACAAAATTACTCACTAGTTCTCTATTTGAGTTTGGTGGAAAAAAGACTGTAGAAAACTGGCCTCATTTTTAAGTTTTACTCTGTAAGAGTTGTGGTTTGAATAAGTGTGAGTTTTTTTGTTTGTTGGTTTTTGGTTTTGTTTTGGTTTTTTTTGTCATTTGTTTGGAGGTGGGGGTGCCTTTTTTAATTAATAAAATGTTATGGGGTACTTTAGCAGAAACCTCTCTCTTCTGGAAATCATACATTAAAGCAGGAGCCTCAGAGAGCAGGGAGAAGACCTCCTTGAACACTGTAGGAAAGAAAGGACAGCCTGGCAAATATAGTATTAACTTGGCACTTGTTATTTCTGGGTTCAGTTCCCTGATCTACTACATGTTTGGGCAGGTCACTTTGGGTAGGTCACTTCGGGTCAGCTTTTATAAACCTGTTTGGGTACCTAAATATATATATAAATTATATATATAAACTTTTATATAAAAGTAACTAGGGAGTTCTAAAACTACTTAACATGTACACTTGCCGTGATTTCTTAAAAGGAGTTATATTCAGTCAAGCCATAGAGGAAATTTACAGGATGAGAAAAGAAGTGACCTAAGCATTTGTCAGGGATGTGAAAGATTTAGGTTCAACCACTCTCTGTCTTGATGTAAGCCCAGAACTGAAGTTTGTTATCTCTCAGAGCTGTATGAACCTCTTTAATCCCTCACTGTCTAATGAAGACAGTGATCTACTTTGCAATAGTAATTTATTAATTCACTGAAGAGAGTCAAGTGAAATTCATAGCCTGAGAGTTAGGATGCTTATACTGGACATGGCAGCCTGATTAAATTCTAAATCCAACAACTTCAAAGGGAAAGAATAAGGTAAGTCCGCCTCAAAACACTCTGTAGACCACTGTTTAGTGTACTTCCAAAAGTGGGAGACCTGGACTCAAATCTTTGCTCTATGTTCCAGAAAAACATTCTACACTAATGCTGGGTAACAGTCCAGAAAAGAGGGGTTAAGATGGATGTTATTTACCTTTAGTTTGTTTACAACAAGACAGCCTTAGGCATCTAACTATACAAGAGCATCCATGCTTTATAACCCAAGTGAAGAGCCGTGCCCAGTTCTTCATCCCTTCTGTGAACTGTTTCCTACCAGCGTTTGGAGCTCCTATTCTTAGAGACCCAATTCCCCCCACACATTTCACAAGCAACTTACACAAGGCTGTAGCTTTTCTTACAGCCATGGACACTGATAGGGAAGTGGTACAATCTCAACCTTACATACTCTTAAATGCACCTAGGAGTAAATCCAGGCTGTATCTTTTGCCACATTATCTTTGCAGACCTGGCCTCTCATCTGCCTGAATTTTCTGTGAAAAACTGAAAACAATAATCTCAATTTATATTTTTACAACACTCCCTGACATACCGCTCATTAACATTTAAGATATTTAAAACAAGTACCCTACAGCAAACTAGAGGATTTGTGTGGACTGTTAGCTAAAATTCCGGCAACCCAGAACAGACCCCAGGCTGACAGAATCCAGAGGTGTCAATAAATATACCATCTAATGTAGAATGAAGACTTATCACACTGAATAAGTGCTTTCTTCTTCTTCTAAAAAAAAGAAGTATGCTAATTTCATCTGCTATTTTCAAAAAGATCACAGTACCACTTATGATGGTACATGCATCCAAACTGGCAGAAGCAATGGCATACTTCATAACAACCTTTACCAATGACTAATTTTGTATTTTCTTCATCAGCAAATAAAGGGCTTTTCATCTGGCTGCAAGCATTTCTGAATTTTATTATTTTAAAATACTTTAAGCTTACACAGCATATTCATTTCTGGTTCAAAGAGACTGCACTAATTGAAGACAAGATTATAACACCTGTCCTGTGTAAGAATCTGCATCAAGCTTCTTTCAATCATCCTTTGAAGAAAAATAATGCATCACCTGCATTTTTCTTGAGGCAAACAGGTCTAATCTGAGTGCACCACTGAAAGCTGTTAACTTTAAGACACTTTTATTTACGGATTGTAGTTATTCTGATGAATCAACAGCCTTCATAGCCACTCCATCCATAAATCTGTTTTCACCTGATGTCTACAGTCTATGAAGATGGTAAATTAGTTTTCACCCATCTGACAGACTGTCACTTTTCTGGATAAAGAGAAAATGGACAGCTGGTGCCACTAAACTTTGCACTATTGTGCCGTCAAAGGGGTAGTCCTGTGTACGATGCTCAGTTGTGGATTTTGCCTGATTTTTTATGTGAAATTTTATGATAAATCAGCCCTCCCTTGATGCTTTTTATGACGAGTAAAAATCAAAGTGAGAGACACAAACTGGTCTGTAGCTGCAACACTGAAACATCCATCAGTGACAGGGACATTAGTCATTGACCTTCCAATCCCACTACACTACAGCCTTACAAGCCCAAAACAATCTAAAAACCCACTACCTAAAAAGAAGATAATTGAAATTAAGCACTGTATTTAGAGTAGTGTGTGTACTTCAGTAGATTCAAAAAACAGACTGGAACATTTTAGCTATCATCTGTGTTCTGTCACTTGTACTCTTGTAGTTTAATGTCTCCTCCTGACTGTTAATGGCTTAAGACTTCCTCTAGACTTAACACGCAAAAACCAATTTGAAATTAGCATTGGATTGGTAGCTGTGAAGAGGCTGGCCTAAGTATCAGAAAGATGCCTTTTTCTTGGACTGCATCCTGAAAAGCAAACAATGCCACCCCACAAATGTCTCCTACTATTCATTTAAATATTCTGATTCTTAAGACTGTACATTGCTCCTGGTCATGGTAACAAAGCACGCAACTGCTTTCTCTCAGAGCTAATGTGACCTACAGCACGTAACAGCAGCTTCAATGCCATCTATGTGAACGATGTTCCACATAAAAATGGACTTTGCATATTAATACACAGATAAGCCTCACAATGCCACACATCATTTAAAAGCAAACAAAATGAGACAATACCCCCACAATTTTATACACCGTTCTGCCACAAGCAGAAAAACGTTCATCTACAGCTGTGTTTTACAAGATCTAGTGAGGTATCAAATGCAGCTACATTAAGATATTGAGTGTTTTAGTAAGCTAACAACTTTTTGCCCTGTTTCTGATGTCTTTAAAAGATTCAATGCTATTCAGGCAAACGAGAACCAACCAAAACAATCAAAGAACACTGCAGTGCTCCACTTCAGAAATGGCAGCACTGCATACATCAAAATTCTCTGAAGACTCACATTGTTCTTGACCTAGCTTAATAAATATGCTATACCAGAAACCACATCTGTGATGCTTGCCCCTGTACATATACAGGAAAGGAAAAAGCAGGTTCCTGTCTTCAGATCAAAATACCTTGCTCGTAACATACCTCCAATCTGAATTAATTTCTAGAAACCGAGAAACTCCTGTTTGCGCTGCAGCCACATCAATATGAACAGAGACATCTACATAAAAAGAGAACAAAATACAGTTTCAAAATTCTTCCAAGAACACTCCAACTAATAAGATAACAAAATAGTAACAGAAAAGATGCATGTAAATAGTGTGAAGTAGTACCATCCAATACATGTAAAGCTATACCAGCAAAAAAACGTGCAATTGAAATTAGGCAAACATACCTCAAATCGGCTTTACATACCTGCTGTTGAAGGTACCAACTCATGCAACTTCTGAATTGCCACTCCTCCAGGATAATTGAAATGTGAAACATACAACGATGTTCCTGAATAAGCAGCATTAACTACAAGATGCATTATAACAAAAAAGGATCCAAGTCTGTACAGCCAGGATTTCCGGTAGTTATTCAGACTGTTGAGAGGGAAAAAATGAGTAAGAATAAACTGTTGTTTCTCCTTCATATGGTCATTGACTATTGTGACAGAACTTTTATGAAAATTCCACCACTAGATAATAGAGATTAATGTGAACTTTATTACAATCATGTATGGAATGCATTTATTATCCATTTCAAAAAGACTAGCTTCCAGTGACATTTAAATTAGAATATTCTCATTAATAAAGGTAATACAAGCTCATCAATAAAGCTAAGTATTTCTGTGTTTAAAACCTTTAGCTATGAATGTATTCTCTTTCAAAAAAGTTCAGAATTTAACCTCAATTTGTTTACTCAATATGCCGAAGTTTAACTATTTAATACACACTCCGTATTTCATGAGCCCCACCTGTATATTGAACTGTCTCCTAACATAAGTTATGTTAACAACATAGTAGTACACTGGAATGTGTCTTTCTCTGGTGGATAAAATAAACTGAACTGTAATGGCATAACAGTAAAATCAGGGCTCTGTTTTCTTCAGCCTCAGACTTGCCAAATGATCCTGTCAAATAATTTATTTTTTCTTTGTCTCCATCTCCCTGATCAGTCAAATTGGTACAATGATCCAGACCTCCAGATATATAAAGATCTCAAGACAATCCAGATTCCAAAATGGAAAGAAGCGCATAAAAATAGTAATAACAGTTTTGCTTTTTTGCATTTTCAGAGAAAAAAAAAAAAAAAAAACAGATTTTTGAACTTACATTCGCGAGCACATCTTAGCAGCCACTATGTTGAAGACAGGGAAAGTATATATGATAAAACGCAGCTCTTTGTGTGGGAGGAATGAATACAAGAAAATAAAGCCCAGTGCTGGCAAAAGTAATATCCGAGTTCTCTTTTCTGTTACACCTAAAGGTACAAATATGATGCTGCATCCCAAAGCACGAGGCAAGGCTGAATAGAAATACCACAAGAAGGGGGAGGTCTTCAAGGTGAAAAGGAGAGTTAAGGATGCTTTCACTGCTAACAAGTAACAATTCTTTACAGTAGTACACCCAAACTTTGCAAATATGCAGTACACTTTTTGTATATCACATCCTTCCAGGCATTTGGTTTCCTGCCTTATCCTTTGAGAAACAAAAGCAGTTGCCTAACTACATTTGCATCACCGAATGGAGGCAAATCAAATGTCGCTAATGATGGGCAACATGAAAAACCACAGGGAAGAAACCTGGCTTTACACTGGTAGAACGCAAAGAAGCAAGAAGAAGGAACAGTCAGCAGAGTAAAGTTTAAATTTATGCCAAGATCTAAGAAACAGACATTGCAGCTCTTCATAAGCTTCAAATAATGAAGTACTAGATGAAAAGTAGAATTTAACACCGTAACTGAGTCCCAGGAACAGGTTACATCAATTCTTTGCTTTGGCTGGTAGTGTTCAATAGATCTTTGACCTTGGACGCTTCAAAGGATACTCCCCAGTTGGAACTTTTGTTTAGAACTGTGTTATACCAAAGCACTTCCCCCTCAGGCCACACAAGTTGCCTCCAAAATAGAGAATCCACAGCAACCGTTAGCCCTAGAAGAATTAAAAAAAAATACAAATCCGCGTGAATTAAAAACTAGGGAAAAAGCAAACCAGAACATCCAATTTGCACATTTACTAATGAAATCAACATCAACTGGAACATGCATTGTAAGCCCCACCCAAAGCCACCAAGAAGGGTGAATCTGTCTGTCTTGCAGTGGAAATGCAGGGGAGGCAGGCACTTCTTAATAGAAGTCTTAACAGAAGCATGTTAGATGGGAAACTGATTGAGATTTGCCCCACTCCAACTCCAGGTGTGAAAAGCAGTGGCTTAATTAAAGTTTGTTTTACAAGAATAGAGCAGCATTAAATGTAATGAATGGTAAGAAACATGGGCTAACTTCAAATGGTACTAAATGGATTTTTATTGTAAAGCTGTAAGTTAAGAAAAACAATCTCTAGACATTTGCTACTATTTATTAGGTGGGAGGGAAGAAGGAGGATAAGGGATGAAAGGCAAAAGACAGAAGAGCTGCAAATCTGTCAGCCCCATCTCCTCCACTCAGCTCTATGAAAACTACTCTCATATTTAAGAGGTTCCAGACAAGGAACGGGAGGACCAGTGACTAAGTCCTGTTGGACCTCCAAACTCTTACACTGTGAGAAGGCACATGGCATTATCTTTAATTGTTTCTACTGCCCATGCTGTGGAAGGGACAGCACACTACCAGACGTCATCACCAGGCATCCGACAACAGCATTTTTAATTAGGTAGGCTAGCAGAGACGCTTAGAGTATTTACATGCGTATGCATGAGCCTGCCATAGATGGGTAGAGAAAAGGAGATTTTTCAACCTCTCTAGCATGGATAATCACTTAAGCTATTAAAATCAATGTAATAACAACACAGAGGTGAACTGTGACTCTCCCCACAACCCTCTTGCTCAGTATCCCTGTCACACTGTTGTGTTTTGTCCTGGGATTCAGCTTATCATCATGGCAATAGACAGTACAACTGATAATGGACATGTAGCTACAGCCAGGTACCAATTATACTGAAGTCAACTTGCACGTGTGAGCCTTTTTCAAACCAGGACATTATACTCTAAGTACCTAAACGCATGGGTCACAGTATCTTTCTACTGCTCTGTGAACACCTATTTCCTCACACTGAAATTTCTGAAGAAATAAATACCCTTCTCATATTACTAGCAAATAGAATCAAACAGGAAAAAAAAAAAAAGCCGTAAGGGCCAGGTCACTAGAGAAGTCAGTCAAATCTCTAGACTTGTGTTGAATTTAATATGCAGCATTTGTTTTTTCCAAGCAAACACTTACCTAAACAAAAAATTCCAGCAGGAACAGCATGGGAAAGCACCTTGAGAATGGAGATTCTTTTAGTTAATAATGTCACCAGGAGCATGAGGCCTAAGAATATGCAGAGCTCTGATCTGAAGACTATAATTGCCAAAGCTGAGAACCAAATGAATGGCCTTTGCTTTTGCTGTATCCAAAACGTCAATGCCAGGAGCACTGCAAAAAACAAATGAAGCACACCATCTGACCCACTGAGCTCTCCATTTTCTAAAGGGCAACACTTTTCTCAATGCTAGCATCTTGTTCCTCTAACTTCCCACCAATCCTCTCTTGGTCTTCCTACCATTTCTAGTCCAGAAGGTCTTCCTCTGTTAAGAGAAATGTAATGTGGAATAACGCACAAATTTCTACTGTTGATGCTTAAGTAACTAGAAAAGGTAGAACCACAGAAGAACACATAGGAACTCTTCTTAGACAGTATACTTAATAGCTTTGGAGGAAAAAATAAAAAATAAAAAAAACCTTAAAGGAATACTAAAAGCCTTTCAAACTATAATTCATAATTATTATTGCTCAGTATCAGCTGAAGAGTTAGTTTATTCTCTTGGCTGAGTATATCCTGTATTCATGATAACAATGACCCATTTCAAATATCAAAACAAGACTACAGACTACCCCTCAGGGAGAAATAAATTTGTGTAGCTAGCCGGAGACACACCGTATGTCTGCAAATGAAGTTGCCTCTACTTTTTCCACAGTTTAAATCCCATTATAACATTAACTACATAGTGAAGTGATCATGATCCTAAAGAAAATGTGTGCAATATTAATAGTAAAAAAACCTGCAACAACTTGTGTTTAATACCTGCAGGAATTATCTGAGAAGTTTATTACTACACAGTGTTTCTCTGACAGTTCAACTGCTTTTTGTTTTTCAGTTCTGATCTGTGTAAGTTCTTGCACCAACATCATTATTTTATTAGTTGAGCAACTTGCACTGAAGCATTAAGTGACTCGGCTAGTATCTGTCACATGTGGTTAATCTTCTCTTTCATCATCTCTAGGGAAAAACTGTATGTGTAGAGTAAGGTTTTGACTTTTTTTCAACCCTGCCTTTACTTTAAGTGTACAAACTGCTACCTTTGTAGGTAACTCCAGAAGAAGATGGAGATGTTGTGGTGGGAGTTTGTTCCACAGTCCCATGAGAAACATATTTCCTATGCAGACTAAATTAATGGATTTTTTTTGGAACTGCAGATGTACCTCCTGCCTTTTCAATAGCTCTATGTTTTATGCATCAGATATGGGTACTCAAACCTCTAGTTAATCAAAGACATCTGACAAACTCCACATATACTCAAGATTCAATGAAACTTGATTCAACAGTCATTGTAAGCATATATGGTAAAAAAAAAATAGAAAGAGAAATCACAACTGCTTAAGTTTTCTAGTCTTGTTATCACACAATTTAATCAAGCACATACATTAATTTGGTCTGACATATTTTCTGTGCTTTAACTACTAATACATTTGAGAAGAATTTTTATATTTTAGAATTATTCCTACGTGAATACTTACCAAAAGGAAGTGCAAACACATTAGGCAGGGTTCGTGTACAATAGAACATCAAATGAAACTGAGTAACAGTAATGAGGCAGAAGATTGTTGATGTAGTTGCTCCAAACTGCTTTCTAACTTCTTTCTGCAACTTCCATAATGTGTAAATCACACTGAGCCCCAAGCTTCCTCGGACTATCAGAAGAATAAAAATGGGAAATAAGAGTAATATCAGACAGATCCCTGATGAACCACCATGTCACATAACATAATGAGAAGTTATGAAGAATACTACTGATGATACCACAGTGTAACTCACTTCAAAGAAAACAAAAAAAAAACAAAACTTCCCGAGTAATTTTTCTATTTTAATCCACCTTTAACTTGTCTGACACTTGTGCATGAAGATCAGTGCTTCTATGCCCAAGTCAGAAGCGTACAAGGAAGTACACATGGGAGCGTATTCTCAAGATACTTGCTTTTTCTACACTGTATGACATTTGTTAGCACAGACTTTCTCTGTGCTGTTAGTTACCCCAAAGAGGGGGTGGAATCGCCATGCTGGCTCTAAGGACCTACAGTTTGAAAAATCTCTCATTAAGAATTTAATGTTTTAACCATTGATCCAAACACTGAACGTTACAATAACGTCACCAATTAGCCTAGTAGTAAAAACATCCCTATTCTGATGATTTAAAGTTCTCATACCTATCAGCTGAGAGTAAAACTTGGACATTCTTAGCACAGAAAGTACATATATAGCTGGGCTGGAAAGAGCAGCAATAAAAATTGGTCCAAGGAACGTTCTTGGGACAGCTCCAGGAAATTCATGATGGTCATACTGCAAAAAGGAAAATCTAAGTAAGATAGGCAAATCAGAAACAAAGAAAAACTGGGATAAATCACATTCACATTGCATTTATCCTATTCATACAGCAGGGAATTCTGATCTTTAACAGTGTCGAAGAAAGAACATAATCTTTCCCATTTACCTTATCCAAGTCCAGTTGGTGGTACACCACATCATGGATAGCTTGTAGATTAAAGCTTTCCTCCACTTTTGTAAAAGGACAGACAGTTAAATGAACAAAGGCCACAACAATTATCAGCAGCAGCAACGGGAAAGACCGTCCACTTGAGCTCCTCTTCTGACCCATCTTGGGTTTGAAATTCACATGGAATCTACTACTATTAAAAAGAAAACACATTAATAACATGACATGAAGCGTACAAGCAGAGGGATAATGCAAGGAAAATGTACTACAGTAGTGTAAAAGTTTAAAGAAAGACTAATAAATAAAATAATACATCTGATTATTTTTTATACATTCAATGAATTGAGTAGATAGCCAAAAACATATTCAGGCAGTATTTCAGGATTTATGCCACCTCCTACATATGCAAAGGTTTTAGTTTTCACCTAAAAAAACCTCAGACAACACAGACCCTACTTCAAGTATTTCCCTTTGCATTCCATACTGTCATCCCTGCCGAGAGAACCAACTCAATTACAACTGTGCTTTGTGGGAGACAGCTTTCTAATTCATTCTCACTTTAGTCACACGCTGGATTTTCACATGAACATACTCTCTCGTTTGTCTAGGACTCTGAAACCAGTGGGAGAGGAACCACGAGGATGAGAAATTGCTCAGAACTGAGTACTTAGATCTTTTGAGTTCGCCAGCTTGCCAGTAGCTAGGTCTGGACTCAGCAAGTGAAGCACAAATGCCCTTTGGCACCCACACCATGTGCCATTATGGCGTGAAATAGTCTGAACTCCATCCTTCACACTGCTACCCAGAAATGAAGGTTAGCTCTCCCTAGTGCTTAGTTTCACAACACCATGCTAACCCATTCTTATGTTAGTATTTATGATGTATTTTATCATCATGATAAAAACACGTGTCCAAGTGATGCCAGAGCAAATAAGGCACAGGCACTATCACGGGTAAACAGTTCATCTTTTCTGGTTTCAGATTATAAACCAGAAAAAAAAAAAAGTTATTTTCCATTACCATTTCCACCAAAAACATGGTAATCTATTTCATGTTCCTTTAATTTAAGCTTTCCACTTTTTTAAAGTTTGTAATTTAATAGAAGACAAGAGATTTTGGTTATTGTTATTCTCATCTATTCTCACAAAAACAAAACTTTAAAAATAGCACCTTTAAGGTACTACTGGGATTTGTTAGAGATGTTTTCTCCTACATTTTGGTCTAAATATGTCCATCAAACATGCAAGATAGTTGGCAGGTTTGCTAGGATTACTTGGCAACTGCCTCCTAGAGTCACCTTTTCCTGAATTGATGCTTGTCCAGCTCATTAGTAAAATTAGAGTGAGCTAATGTTCCTTATTGCCACAGCTAACACCAATAAATCCCGAAATTTGTGTAGGCTTGCATGTATCTGCCTATTGTTTTATATATTTCACTGATTGCTTTTTCTCACGATTGCCAAAGACAATCTGGGCTCAAAGACAGAGTTCTGTGCTAGATGTCCTTAGGATTTTTGGCTTGTTTTGTAATGTTAAGAGCTGAAATAAACACAGCAACCCAGGAAACACAAAGAAGTCTTTTAAACCTGTGCCTAGTATTACTTCTTTATGAGAACAGATAAAATGGGTTTTGCTACAACAGAATCCTTTTTCCACAGCAGTAGTAAAAGAGGCATGGGACTGCCATGAGGAGCACTTCAAGAAGTGTTTGGCAGGAATTAAACCTCTGCACAGGGCAATTTATCTGGTACAAATTCTTGATGCTAGAAAGCTCTCTGGCTGAATTCTTCCAGTAAATACAGGCACGTCTTTTGTTTCTGACCAAACTTTCTAGTAAGAAAAATAGACACTGAAGGATCAATCTACCGCTGCATACAGCAACACAAGCATTTGAGTAGCTTGTGTGTCATAGGAAGCAGCACATAACACACCAGCAAGGTAGGTATTCCTCACTCCCAATTCGTAGCTTCTTAACATTCCAGATATTTTATATTTTAGGATCCAGTGAAACCTTGTAAAAGGACCAAAGTGCCAAGAAGCTCTATTTTTTCCTTCTTAACTGTATAAGTTGTGTAATAAAGAGATGTTGCCTTCACCTACAAATATTGCATTCATTACGCTCTGACCACTCTACAATATAGCCTGCTCCTGATATCTTTAGCAGATCACCACATAAGTAATCAATGCTCAGCTTCCCAAACCAGAAAGACAGTGAAGCTACATCTCCCATACACAGTTTATCAAAAGGCTTTTTTTCATCTTGTTGACGCCAATCCTTTTGTATGCCTGAAGAAAGTAAGCTTGCCAGCATACTCATAGATTTTGAAGATAATTATATACATTATACATACTGAAATTCCCTGAAGGGAAACACTCTAGAAGATAAAAAAACCAAAGCATGAAGACAACATCTAGGTTTCCGAGATAAAGCCTAAAAAATTTAGTGGTCTTGTCAAGACTCAGGATAACATGCTCTGTCAAAAACTGATGCTGAGAAACCTCAAAATTCACATGGGATTTATCAAGACAAGTACACATTGAATTTGATGTTTAAAATAAATTTGCTATACAAAAGAAAAATACTTGCAAGTGCAACTTTTAATTGTAAATACCAAAAATGTATTAACAGATTTTTCACTTCATAAAAATCTTTTAATAACGAAGGTTAGAGGAATAACATAAGCAAATACAAATACTTTTATCCATCATTAGCATTCTGACAACTTTACAAGAGTCTTCTTCAGACCTGGACAAAATAGCCACATTTACTCTCCCTCTGATGTCTGCATCAAGACTGAAGTACAAAAGAGTGGAGACTTTCAACACAAGGAATCCACCCTTCCTGGGATTAAACTGGGTGAACACAGTTGGTTTTTTTTCTCACATTAAAAAAGGTTGAAACATTTTTACCAGAAGCAATTTCTTCTTTTTCTATACTTTTTCTGTGGATGTGTCATTAGTTCCAAGATTTTTTCCCTCATTAAAAGCCTACCACATTTGGCTCACATTTTTCAGGCACTCTTCCGTATAAATACGTTAAGAGTTTGGCAGCCAAACCGCATGGTGAATCTGTCTGCAGGGATTGCATTTCACTCCCTCACATGCTCTGTACGGAAACATGCGAGCAGAACCCCACCAAGAGCATCCCACCACGAGGTCTGCTCCCTTTTTAACCTGATCTAGATTTAGTAAAACTTATATTGTATTATCTTCAATTTTCATGTTTGTTTGGGTTTTTTTTCCCCTATGCTTTAATAGCTCTTCCAACTTTGCTCTAAAGCTAACTTCTGAATAAGGTCAGATTTAACCCTCGTACTTCCTGGGATTGCTTTTTCTTCTTTTCTAAGAAGGAACACGACAGTTGCTATCCTTATGCACACTTCCTCGTGAGCTTGGGGACTGGACAAAAAATAAAATTTTAAAAGTTGAGGCAGGAAACGAAGCTTGGGACACCACCAGCTATGAAGG